TGTCTTTTTTTTTTATTAAATATACATAAAAATGATTATTTTATCTCTTTTTATCTTTGAAAAATATTTGTCAATAAATTTTTTTTTTTAAATGTAAGTTGAAATGAAAAATATGTGTGTAAAACTTGAGAAGTAAATTTTTGTGAAAAATGTTGACAAATCTTCTTGTAGTTGTTTGTGATGTATATAAATAAATTTTGCTGTTGAATTCGCGGGTGACCAGATGATCAACATCATTTCTCTGTGAGGTTGAAAAGCAACAGGTTGCATTAAAGTTAGAAATACTTCTTCTAGATATCTTAAAAGGTTTAAAGTAACTTTAGAAGCAGTGTAAATAGGAAATTTATCTTTCTCGAAAGTTAAACATCTGCTTTTCTTGATTTATGTAAAATTCTTGTTGCCCTTTTTCTATATTTAGTTTTACGGTGACGGTTTTCTTTAAAAAATTATAATTTTTTTTGCACAAAAATAAAATTGAAATTATTTCAAAGAAGATTGATTTCCAATCAATTTGGAAAAAGAAAATTGATTAAATGAAAATTGATCACATTTCCCTAAGTTTGAATCAAGTTTGATTATTTTATATTTATATATGAGAAAAATCTTGGTATTCTTTAGATGAAATCAGAGACAGGAGTCGAAAACACTTTGGAAACTTTTATCTCGACACAATTGAATCGAGGATCTCGTAACTAGCGAGTTGAAGGAAAAACCCCGGATGAAAGTAGCGGGTGTTAGGTGGGACATAAGAGTCTTATAGAAAGGCGAGAGCACGAGCTAAAACTGATAAATAAATAACAGCAAAGACTTCGGTCAAGAGGTAGATGGCACGACAGTAAAGAAAAGTAACGCGAGCCCGTAAAGGAGAATCAATTCGATTCCCAAGTCGCACACTCACTACTCTCCATTCGTATCTTTTCTTCGCCTCTTTTTTTTTACCCACTCATACCACATTTCTTTCTTTCTTTCTCTATTTCTTTTTCCTCACTCTATCCTTTTCTCTCCTTCTCAGAAAACGACTCTCTGCTCCGAGTTTTGTACCATAGGGTACATATATATATATATAGCTCTCCATTTTCTGCGCAACAAGTGCTTTCTCTAGCTGCTGCCTTGCTGCCGGAGCATCACATCTTTAAGAAAACCTTCTTCCTTTCTGCTTCCTATTTCAAGCTTGAAAAAGAATTCCACGAGTCCGACTACTACTTTCCAAATCACCATTGCTCCACTATGTTTCTTACCCCCCCTTCCCCTTCCCCCTCTCTCTCTTTTGCTTTTGCCTTCTTGCCAAATGCTTACCATTCTGTATATACAACAGCTTCTCTCACACGATACTTCTCTCTTTCTCTCCTTCATCCGTCAGCTACTTTTCTACGTTACTTCACGGTAATGCTATACTCCACCACCTGTTTTCATGTTTTGTTGAATAAAAAAAGAAAAAAATTGCACAAAATAAATATCCTCTCTCTGTCTCCTTAAAGACCGCGTCGTTTGAGAGTAAATCCACTTTTTTTTCTCTACCTTCTGCAAAGATTTGTATAAACTTAAAATTCCCCAAGTGTGGTGGATCTTTCTTTTTTTTTTTGGACAATTTATCTCAGGAAGATTACTGTTAAATGCAATTGTCATTTGCATATATATTGTGTGGCTTTATTTTAATGCTTTGCAAAGTAAAAAAAAATTCTCGATTTGAAAATATTCACATGTGAATAATTTCAAATCGAGAATTTTTGGAATTTTTTTTTTGTACAATTGTGACTGAAACTTATTTTTTCTACTGATTGATTGAAAAAACTCAATTACCTGACTGCTATCAAATTAATATTTATTTGAACAAAATAAATATTTACTTGAACTAAAAATGCAAAAAAAAATAAAGAAAGGACAAAAAATGTTGAAATTATAAAAAAGTACCAGTATTAAAATTACAATGATTGACGAAAGTTTATACTTTTACCACAGATGCAAAAATAAAATAAACCCCTTGTCTGACTGAAACTGTACTTTTCTACTAAAAGAAAAATTTGAATAAATTTCAATAAAATTTACTTGAATTATTAAAATATAAACAATTTTTTTTTGGAAAATTTCTAGTAATTGTTTTTACTACTGATGTAAAATTTTATAAAAATTAAATAAAGTTACGTCTGACTGAAAGTGACTTGTACTACTGATATACAAAATTCTTAGAATTTAATCACAGCTGTCTGACTGAAATTTATTTTTACTACTGCCACCGAAATTACAGTTAATCCAAACGTCGTCTGATAAATTCCACTGTATTGATAATTTATAAGATTTTGACAAGTCTGACTTAAACGGACTTGTACCACTTATTCCTAAATTACAAGAACTTAAAAAACTGATTTTTTTCACTGATACCAAAAATTACAATGATTCCAAAAAGTCATGTCTGATCAAAACTTACTTATATCACTAATATAAAAAGAATTCAATCAAAATTCTATTAAAAATTTAATGATACCAAAAATTTTTAAGCTCGATGACATTATTATTCGATGTAAAAATACAAGAATTTAGAAAGTTTCTGGCTTACCGAAAACGAATTTTACTACTGATACTAAAATTAGGAGATTTTGAAATAATTCAGTCTTGACAAATTTCTACAGATACTGAAAACCAAGTACAGGAAATTGGGCTTTACTACTTAAGAGTATGTCTGACTTAAACCCACTTTTTCTACTGATACTTGACAAAAACTGTTGTCAATGTAAATAATGCTTTTTAAATGTGAATTAGTAATTTTTGACTAATTCAACTGTGCCGATTCGTTTATTAAATGAATTTGTAACTATATTGACTAATTTTTAGTCTAAAATCACTAATCGTTAGTAGAAAACTACTAATTTTTTAGTAAGGTTTAGTAAGGTTTTTGAAAATAGTTTAAAATTTCTTTAGTGAGAGAAAATTCTTTTTTAGTAAGAAACATATTTTTTTCAGTAAAAAAAACATTATTAGCAGTATCAATACAAACTAATTGGTAGTAGTAAACTACTAATTTGTTTCGTAAGAATTGCTAATTAAAATTGGTAAGAAATACTTCTTAAGTAAAAAATACTTTTTCAGTAAAAAAATAATTTTTCAGTAAAAAATGCTTTTTTAGTAAAACAAATACATATTGAGTAAAAAAATACTTATTTAGTAAAAAAAATTACTAATTGGTAGTAGAAATCTACTAATTTTGATAGTAAGGCTGACTAATTGAAATTAGTTAAAACACAATTCTTTACTAAGAAAAATAACTAATTGATAGTAGAAAACTACTAATTTTTTAGTAAGGTTTACTATATGAAAATAGTTTAAAATTTCTTTAGTGAGAAAAAATACTTTTTTAGTAAAAAAAAATATTTTTTTCAGTAAAAAAACACTATTAGCAGTATCAATACAAACCAAATGATAGTAGTAAACTACTAATTTATTTCGTACTAAATCTTTCCAACTAAATCGATAGTAGAAAACTACTAATTTTTTTTAGTAAGGTTTGCTAATTGAAATTAGTTTAATATTCTTCAGTGAGAAGAAACACTTTTTTTAGTAATAAACATATTTTTTTAAGTAAAAAATACTATTATTAGTATTAATACTATTAATACTACTACCAACTAATTAGTAGTAGTAAATTTTTTTTTGTATTCTCTGTTTTAAAAATTGTAGAATTCTCGAATTTCCTCCAAAAAAAAAAGTATCCACATGTTTTGTATTCGAATAAAGAGTTTTCAATATAATCCTGAATTTTGCATACATAAAGAAACTAAAAAAAACAAAAGGAAGAATTATTGATCTGTTGCATTTAAGGAATGAGAAACTTTTTTTTACTCGCATTTAAACTTCCGTATGTAGATGTGAAAAGAGTTTCTTTTTTTTTTTCATTTTTATTGAGAATTCCCTGGTGTTTACCAAGACCACTTGGTTGCCCGACGCGATGCCGTGATGGTATTGTGCTATTTTCCAAAGGTTCGTTCACTTGCTTTGTTGCTCCCTTGAGACGCTTTTCTGCATCTTGGGCGATTCTTATTTTCCTTTGAGATCTGACTCACCGCTAATACTTTTTAAAATGCAATTTATCTCCAAAAAAAAAGTTTATTATTATAATTTACGATTTATGAAGATGAAAAGTAAAAAAAAAAGAATTAAAAAAATATACGAATGAGAATATAAGAAATATGTGAGAACGTGTATATAGTTTCAGTGACATAAAATATTCCACGTAGACGACAATTTAAACTGATATTTTTGAAATGAAATGCAATACGCTTTTCCCGAGTAGAATATATTGCATTGAACCGTCTTTTCTTTTCTTATTTTAATTTTTTTTCAGAGAAAATAATTTTTTTGTTTAATTATCCGAAAGATTTTTTTACTTTTAAACTATTTTAATTTAAAAAATAATTATTTAATATAATTTACCATTGTTTTTAAAAAACAATTTTTTACGGAAAAAAATTTATTTCAAAATGATTTGTTCTTTAAAACAATTAGTTTTCAAAGACAGTTTAGAAACAATGATTTCCCATTATATGTAATTAGTTTCAAGAGAAGAAATTTCGTTAAACTTTCAGTTGTGTTTGTTTCACTGGCTGCAAAGAGGCAGCAGCATTTATATCAGATAAAAGTTTTCAAGTTAATTAACCCCCTCTCGTAGTTTAATTAATACAACAATTCTAACTGAAACTTGCTTGTAACTGACTACTTTTGATGTTTCTCACTGCCACAGAAAAAAAGGTTTTCAATAATTCAAAATAATAATTAGGATTTTTTTCTGATAATTTATTTAATTAAATAACTAATTAATTTTACATGAAATAAAATTTATTCAACTATAAAATTACAAGACTTTAAAATAAATAAATTTATTTCAAATTTCTATTTTTAAATTAAAAATTAAATTTTTATTTGTTTGGAGAAAATAAATTGTATATTTTAATTTTTCGCGAGTGATTTGAAAAAGAGATTTCTTTTTTTTTTTTTTAATTTAAACTTACCATAGGCGTGGATGAGTATGGTGAACAGGACCACCAGCTTCAACTGCCGATTGCCCATCCTGTCGTGGATCGTTACGTCGATTCAGCTTCCTCCTGAAACAATACGAACGTTCCCAATCAATCAACCCATCCATTTAATCCCCTATCCTGTATCCTGGCTTGGCCAGAATTTCCCGTGTCTATAGACGAATCTCGTTTCGCCTTCAATTCACTCTTCCAAATCTCCCCCTCCCCCCCCCTTGACTGTTTTTAAGCCCCTCCCCTCCACCTGACTTTTCACTCCCGGAATACTTGTCTTCACTGGCAAACAGCCCGAACATTTTTGTACTCTGACTTTTCTGTCTCCGTGATTTGTATCGACGATTTTGTTTTTCCAACGTGGTTTCAATTCCTCTTGTACACTATACATATATATATATATATATAAAGCAAAGGGATATCAAACTCTCATGCACAACTGCACGAGTTTCATCTTGTTGAGTTCCCGCTGGGCACGATAAGTTCGATCCCTCTAGTACCAAACTCATTTTTATTCACAAGCAGAAAATTCCTTTCTATGATGATTTATTCACTATATACCTGAGTAATACATCAATTTTTCCATATTTTTTTTTTGCCCTTTTTTTTGTTAAAATATTCGCCTTTAGTTTCTAAATTTCTAAATTAGTCATTTTTGACTAATTTACCTGCGTTGATTTGATTATGAAATGAAAATTTAACTGTTTTAACTACTCTCTAAATCTGAATTAGTAATAGAGTTTAATAATTTGCATTAGTGACTCACTTTTTACTTTAGAATTAGTTAAATTTTACTAATTGTTAGTAAAAATTACTAATAATTAGTAAAATTTTACTAATTCAGAAGGAAAAAGTGAGTCACTAATTCAAATTAGTAAACATTTTTACTAATTCAGATTTACAGAGTACACAGGAAATTAAAAGGCATTAAAATAAGCTGCAACGCTTATTATTTTAATCCAATTTCGCTTATTTTAATCCATTTTGGTATTAACATAAGCAAAATTGGATTGGATTGGATTTTCTGTGTACTCACTAAATTTGAATTAGTAAAAATTTTAACATAATTAGTAACTCACTTTTTGATTTTTAGTTAAATTTTACTAAATAATAATTAGTAATTAGTAGTAGTAATTATTAGTAATAAAGTTTACTAATTTGAATTAGTGACTCACTTTTTGCTTTAGAATTAGTTAAATTTTACTAATTGTTAGTAAAAGTTACTAATAATTAGTAAAATTTTACTAATTGTTAGTAAAAATTACTAATAATTAGTAAAATTTTACTAATTCAGAAGCAAAAAGTGAGTCACTAATTCAAATTAGTAAACATTTTTACCAATTCAGATTTAGAGAGTAAAATTAAATTAAATTCCAAATACTTAATACAATTAAAAGCATAAAAAATAAAATAATTTCCAGTAAATTTTATGTAATAAAATTTGGAAGCAAATTAATTCAAATTCTACATTGAGAGAAAAGATTGGTTTCGGGTTACCATTTTTAGTTAGTAAACTATGCTGCTAATTTATTAGTTGTTACTATTTTTATTGGTTGGCATAACTATATTTTATTATTTGGTTTAACTAATTAGTTTGTTTATCTATTTAATTAGTTACTTTACTAATTAAATAGTTAGGCTGACTAACTAAATGGTAACAGTAACTAATATAAATTAGCTAAAATACTCTTACTAACGAAATAGTAATCGGAACCAATCGTTTCTCTTAGTGTAAATGAATATCTTATATATAAAATATAATTCTACTCTCTAAATCTGAATTAGTAATAAAGTTTACTAATTTGAATTAGTGACTCACTTTTTGCTTTAGAATTAATTAAATTTTACTAATTGTTAGTAAAAGTTACTAATAATTAGTAAAACTTTATTAATTCAGAAGCAAAAAGTGAGTCACTAATTTAAATTAGTAAACATTTTTACTAATTCAGATTTAGAGAGTACACAGGAAATTAAAAGGCATTAAAATAAGCTGCAACGCTTATTATTTGAATCCAATTTTGCTTATTTTAATCCATTTTGGTATTAAAATAAGCAAAATTGGATTAAAATAATAATAAGCGTTGCAGCTTATTTTAATACCTTATAATTTTCTGTGTACTCACTAAATTTGAATTAGTAAAAATTTTAACAGAATTAGTTACTCACTTTTTGCTTTTTAGTTAAATTTTACTAATTGTATAAACACATTTTTTTACTATTAATTAATTGAATTTTAGTAATTCAAAACCAAAAATTAAATCACTAATTCAAATTAGTTAAAAATTTTACTAATTCAGATTTCGAGTAATTTTTAGTAAAAAATAACTAATTATTAGTAGGCAATGACTAATATCTAGAAAGCAATTAATAATTGTTAGTAAAAAACTATTAATTTATTTAGTAACGCTACTATTGTAATTAATAAAATTTAATGAATGAAGTAAAAGTTTTTTCTTATCTATTAGAATAATTTTTAGTCAAAAATGTCTAGAAAACTACGAATTTATTTAGTAAGGTTACTATTTTAATTAGTAAATTTTAATAAATGAATTATAAGTATTCTGCTATCAATTTTTAGTTTTTAGTTTAGTTTAGTTTTTTTTCAATTAGACATTTTTGTTACTAAAAATTAGTCAAAAATGACAAAAACTACTACTAATTTATTCAGTAAGTAATTTCAATTAGTGAATTTTAATAAACGAAGTAGTATTTTTTTAACTATCAATTAGTCATTTTTTATTAAAATTTAAAAATTAGTAGAAAATCACTAGAAAAGTAGGAATTTATTTAGTAAGGATACTATTTTAATTAGTAAACTTTACTAAATGAATTAGTAGTTTTCTATTATTAATTAGACATTTTTGACTAAAAATTAGTTAAAATTGTCCGGAATACTACTAATTTATTTAGTAAATTATTTTAATTAGTAAAATTTAATAAATAAATTAGTAGTTTTCTAGTACCTACTAATTTATTTAGTAAGTTATTTTATGTAGTAAAATTCAATAAATGAATTAGTAGTTTTCTAATAAATACTAATTTATTTAGTAAGTAATTTCAATTAGTAAACTTTAAGAACCAAATTAGTAGTTTTCTACGAAATTAGTAATTAGACTAAAAATTAGTTAAATTTTCCCGAAAACTACTAATTTATTTAGTAAATTATTTTAATTAGTAAAATTTAATAAATAAATTAGTAGTTTTCTAATAACTACTAATTTATTTAATAAGTAATTTCAATTAGTAAACTTTAAGAACCAAATTAGTAGTTTTCTACGAAATTAGTAATTTTTTAATATTATTTACTCATTTGTCAGAAAAAATAGAAATATTTGTCAGAAATAGTTAGAAAATTACTAATTTTCTTATAGTAAGTTTACTATTCAAATTACTAAACTTTAATAAGGGAATTTAAATTCAGAGAATACATTAGACAAAATTAGTTTATTAATTATGCAAAAAAGTACAAAAGAAAATAACCAAAAATTTCCCATCTTTTTTTATTTTCTTTTTTTAATTTTACAGGAAAAATTATTATTTTCTTTACACCGAACCATTAATTTGAATAAAAAAAAAATTTTCATTTACCACAAAATTTCAAATTGAAATTATAATTATGGTGCATCATTGTAATGTTGGAATATTTAATAAAACGATAATTATTTATGTTATTAAAAATTCACAACAACAATGGCGAACGGTTGATGTAAATTTTATTGATTGTCACTTTGCATAATACAAAACAATTGTCATTACGTTGTATTTTCATTATTTCCTTTCGAGTACGCGTTGGGTAATTGCAATTTATTTAAACATAAATCGTGAATAATTTTTTGCAAAAAATTATATTAGAAAATTAATAAATAAATATAGTAGTGATATTCAAAATAGAGAAATTAAAAATATCACGTCTGACCAAAACTGACTTTTACTACTGAAAACCTACAAAAAGATTAATTTATTATTTGATAGTGAAAAAAAATTGTCTTTACTAAAACGGAGTTTACTACTGATAATAAAAATATAGGAATTAAAAATTGCATGTCTGACTAAAACCGATTTACACTACTGAAAATACATTAAGACGATGTTAAAGTATTATTTGCCGGTAAAAAATCCTGTCTGACCAAATCGACCTACACTACTGAAAACATAAAAAAAATCTGCCTGACTAAAACCGACTTCTTGTACTGATACTAAAAATACAGAAATAAAAATATTTTATGTCTGACTGAAACCCACTTTCACTACTAATGTAAAATATTACAAATATCTGAAAATTTCTGTCTAGACTAAAAATGATTTTTGCTACTAATTTATTTATAAACAATCTGTCTGACGTAAAATTTCTCTTTACTACTTGACCGACAAACAATATTTAAAAAAATATAAATAAAAAATAAATAATAATAATAAATAAAAAAAATATTGAGATAAAAAGAAAATTTCCAATAAAATAAGTAAATTTGATAAATATTTCTTTGTAATTTATTCGAATTCAAAATAAATAGCAAAAATAAATTACAATAATCAAAGAGAATATATAAATATTGTTTAATGGGAAATAATTTATGTTCTCTTTTCATAATAATTAATTGCGCTTGTTTTTCGATAATTTAGAATTACAACAAAATTTTAATGACAAAATAACACATTTCACCAATCATCGATCCAGAAAACTGTTTTTATTTTTTTGTATATACCTTAAATTGGACTTGCGCAGGAAATATCTCCTAATTAGTAACGAGCAAAGAGTCCGAGAGGGTAAACCGAGTACGGATATTGCTAAAGCCAAAACGATATAAACACTATATATATATATACATATACTGGTACCCGAGTCACTCTCATGAAACGCTAATTTTCCATGTTCAAATACACTGTGTTCGTTTTTGTTTGTACATTGCTGTTAAACGAGTATGCACACATAAACTCCGGTTTTCATTTTCTACACATTTTCCCCCCTACTCTCAGACAAGGAGAGTAAATGAAAAATATTTTTCTCTCGCGCAATTCGAATTTATTGAGATTTAAAATACACACGATTTTTTTTTTTTTTAAATTCTTTGCCTTCT